TCGGCCTATGTGTTAAAACAGGGTTCTCTAGAGAAACAAAACCAGGATACTTATGATTATATATGTATATATATACAACATAAGAAATAAACAGCTAATTAGTCTATAGAGCAATACAAATGACTCAGTGCAACTCACTTCCATGAGACAGTTAATGCACTGGCAGTCCTTCAACTCATGAGGGCTGCTGGGTGCAAGTCAAGGAAGCAGACAGCTGAGTCTTCTGTAGAGCAATGCAGGTAGTCCAGCCACAGACAGCAAACAGCAGGGCAGGTCACCAACAGTCAGCCAAATGACAGGGTCCGACAGTCCCAAGCTCAAGAGATGTATATATCAGCAGTGTAGCTCGCAAGTTGAGGCAGAGAACTAGCTAAGGTAGCTGTACACTGGTCCGATCATCAAAGAGCAAGAGACAAGCAAGGCAAGGGTCACTGAGCCATTTATCTCTTTGCCCTTCAATTATACTGCAACCTTATTAATCCCATGTGTGTTTTTGGCCAGGTTGGCACAATAAACCTACCTATCAGCCTATTTGCTGTCAAGTCCATTCTGACTCATGAAAACCTCATGTGTTTCAGAGCAGAACTTCTCCAGAGGGGTTTCTACGCTGTAACCTTATGGACTAGATCACCAGTTCTTTCTCCTGTGGAGCTGCTGGGTGGGCGGGGTGGGGTAGGGGGTTGGTGGTGACTCACCAACCCTTTAGTTAGCAGCCAAGTGCTTAACTGCTGTGTCACCAGAGCTCAGCTGATCTGCATTAGGAGGTTGCCATTAGTAGATTTAGTTGGTTTGTAAACAAAAACGAAAACAAAGTTACTGTTAAATTAATGCGTTTTTTCCCTCCCTGTTTTTCTGACTGGCGGGGCTGAATGCAGACAGCGGATGATTCTCCAGAAGAACCTAGATGCCCTGAGTTGGAGCAGAAGATGACATCAGGTAGAGTGTGTTCGGGGTGGCTCCTTTCCTGAATGGTTCCTGCTGACAGCCTGGCTCAAAGCATCCAGAAACTTTGCAGATTGCAAAGGAAATCTGTATGTTCTCAATGTGTGGAAACATGGCTAGAAATGGAACTTGATGTGTTCCAGGACAACATCTGGACAATCTGGTGGTGATGTAGAAAATAGCTGCCTTTTCCTCCTCCCCCTCTCCCTCCCTCTCCCCTTCCCCCTCCTCCTTCTTCTTCATGAAATGGGCTACAGTTCTTGATGAACAAATACTCACAATTAAATAGATGATGAGAATGATTCAGAAATGTCTAGTTTAGTTGTACTGAAAATACCTTGTTGTCATCAGTTGCTGTTGAGAAGATTCTGACTCTGGGTGACCCCAGGTGTGCAGAGTGAAAGTGCAGCCCTCAGTTTCCAGGCTTGGGCCTTTCACAAGCAGACTGCCAAGTCTGTCTTCCAAAGAGCCCCTGGGTGGATTTGAACTGACAATCTTTTGACTGTTAGTTCAGCGCTAAACCATTTTCACCACTCAGGAATTCCTATGTAGTTATGAACTGACTTTTTAAAAAATCATTTTATTGGGGGCTTGTACAATTCTTATCACAATCTATACATCCATCCATTGTGTCAAGCACAGATGTACATTTGTTGCCATATCATTCTCAAAACATTTGCCTTCTACTTGAGCCCTTAATACCGGCTGCTCATTTTCCCCCTCCCTCCCCATGAACTGACATTTTTAGGGTTCTCTAGGAAAATGTGATTTATATACAGGTTTACAATTAAAAAAAATGTTATTGGATAGTTAAATATGCAGCTTTACTAAAGCTATTCACCTCTGTGTTAGTCTGGGTAGATTAGAGAAACAAATCTAGGGAGATTCACATATGTGCAAGAGAGAGCATTATATCAAAGAGTAATTGTATATTAAGAAGACATCCCAGCCCAGTCTTGATCAAGTCCAGAAGTCTGATATTAGCCCATATATCCAATACCTGTCTATAAATTCCCCTTCAGACTCACGCAACACATGCAATAACACCAAATGCAGGAAGATCACGGACCTGTGAGTGGAAAGTCTCCTGGATCCAGTGGCGGTGGAAACATCTCAGTGCTGGCATGGGACTCCACATGGCTCCTCCAGCTCCATCAGTGTAGCTCCATGTGGCTGAACGTAGAGAACAGAATTGTCAAGTTGAGAGAGGAAGACAGGAGTTCCCAGTATCCTCAGGAGAAGGCCAGGACCACTGAGTGTCATCATTGGCTGTGACCTGATTGACAGGCTAGACTCCACCCCTTCACTCAAGTCGACAGGAGATTATGTAACTGCCACAACCGCTAAACAGGGCTTCCTAGGACACAATATCAAAGAGCTCTGATAGCACAATGATTAAGCACTCGGCTGTAACAGAAAGGTCGATGGTTTGAACCTACCAGCCACTCTGGGAAAAACAGACACGGTGATCTGCCCCCATAAATATTTCCACCTAGAAAACCCTCTAGAGCACGTCTTCTCTGTCCTGCAGGGTCACTCTGAGTAGTACTCAACCTGGTGGCACTCAATCACAACATGAGAAACTACACAAAGACGCCAAGATGGGCAAGTTGATGGCAATTCGTGACTAAGATCAGTAGTGACCATGCAATGTAGTGGACATCAAAATCAAGCATTAGTTGAAGGGGTCTAATCACCACCGCTGAATCTTTAATACTCCCAGCCTCTCTGTTCTACCTACTTTGAGTTTGGTGTTTGATAGCCGAGTCAGAAGAGGGCTTCTTTGAGATGTGGTCGCTACTGGCAGAGACTCATTTTGTAATTCAGTGTAATCTCTTCCTAGGATACTCATGTCTGGCTCCTTGCTTGTCAACCAGGTCTCAGTTCAAATGAGTGCTTCAGCATTTCCCGGACCACCTTGTCATTCCACCAAATCACTCTTCACTCCATTGCCTCTTACTTGTTTCTTTTATTATGTTTGTCATTCCCTTTAATCATTTCTTTCTCATTATCTCCTAGAGAGCAGGGACCTTTCCGTCTTGTTTATTGGGGAACCTGGTATCCTGGCCAGTATCTGTCATGTGGTGGATGCTCAGTAAAAACATATCAAATGAGATTTTATATGAGCCAACATCATACCCATTGTTAGGTTTCTTAGAGATAGAAAAGAAAAGGGCCTGGCACTTGGCCCTCCCCCACAACAAAACAAAACAAAACAAAACCCAAATGATCTCTACGAGACTGGTATGGCCAGAACATGAGAAACCTTGTAAACAGATAGAGGTAATCTAAGTGTCACTGGGAGACCTGGAAAGTAGGTAATTAAAATTATTTTAGGGAAATAAGATCACAGAAGACTCCTCAGGGCTCCTGATGCTTGTAATGGACTTTGGAATTTGGAATTCAGAGCTTCAGAGCGGGATATGGGCAGGGTTGGAACTTGCATATCCATACACCTGAAAATTGCTGACTGTCACTTTCACACAAAATTCTTTGATTTCCAATTCCTCATCTAGACAATAAAGCTGGAATAATGGTCATTGCTGGGTCAATAGAAAGTTGGTCAAGCAGGAAACTTTGAGGTTAAACGATTTCAGGAAACATATTCCCAGCTGGTCTTATAAAAGGTATTTCCCCGCTTGGCAAGATGGTCAATGTATTTGATGGGCATTTGTTTACCTATAATGACCTCATGTGCAGGGAAGGCCCCACGCACTGACGCTTTTCTGGGACATGGGCTGACTCCAGCAAGTGCTCCCAGGACACCTTGCGGTGTGACATGGGGATCCTAGAGCGCCGGGCGCTCAGAGAGTGCCACTAGAAATCCAGTGTAGTGCTGAAGCTTCCCATCAGCAAATGCATTTGCAGGCAAAGATCTCCAGGAAAAACTAATTCAGTGGAAAATAAAATACAAAGTCTAGTCACAAATCTGTTATTCCATCTTGTCTTCCTGTTTTCAGATGTCAGATATGGGGATACATTTTTCATTTGTCTTTGCAAAACAGTGGTCTTTTGGTAACTTTATTAATCCATTGCTGAAGAGCCGATTCCCACTCATAGTGACCCTATAGGACAAAGGGTAACCCACTTAACCCAGTGTGCTATTAAGGCTCCTTAACCACCTTATTATCTAAGTAAAAATGTCAAGGAGGAGTTTCTCTTAGTTCCTAAACCATGCGCTGACTTTGGTACCTCTTCTTTATCCAAAATTTACTCCTGAATATATCCATTGTGCCTTTAGTCTACTTGTACCACGAGTTTTAGTCCATTCGATTCATAGCTATTATATTTTTGAACCATTCTTTGAAATCTCCTTGGGTACAATACACTAATTCAAGAAATGTTTATTGAATATCTACTATAAGCTAGACATTCTGGTAGGAGTTAGACAAAGTGTTTTTCCAAAACAAGCAGTGGCTGTTGAATGAATTCTGACTCCTGGTGTCACACCCCATGTGTGTCAGAGTATTACTGTGCTCCACAGGGTTTCCAATGGCAGAGCTTCCGAAGCAGATCACCGGGTCTTTCCAAGGTGTCCATGGTGAACTCAGCCATCAGCCTTTCAGTTAGCAGCTAAGTCTGTTAAACATTTGCACCAGCCAGGGCGAGACATGACCTTTAAATAAATTTTAAAAAAGTAAAGCACAGATCATAGAGAAATTGTCACCTTTCAACAAGTACTGTATATACTCGAGTATAAGACCCCCCACAGAATATCTGCTGAGCCACCTAATTTTATCACAAAAACTGCATTAAAAATGTGCTGAAAAACTCAGCTTATACTCGAGTATATACGGTAAGCTGTAAGTGAAAGAGAAAGCAGAATGCTGTGGACGTCTTCCTATCGCAGAGCTTTTTGTTGTTAGTTGCCCTCAATGTGGTTCCATTGCACAACAGAATGCGTGCTGCCCAGTCCTGGGCCACATCTTCATGGTCACTGGCATGGTTGAGTCTGTGGTTGTGGCTTTTGTGTCCAGCCCTCCCACTGAGGCTTTCCCTCATTGCTGCTGATCCTCCACTTTAGCAAACGAGGTGCTCCTTTCTAGTTATCATGCTTCTCTGATGATGCCTCTGAGGGGCATTCTGGTTGTATTTCTTCTAACACTGATTGTGTTCATTCTTCTGTGTCCTTTGCTGGCACGACCATTTTAATTGCATCGATTGCATTGAGTCTTCTTGCCTATTCCCTTTTCTTTGCCCAGCTTTCGTACTCATACAAGGCCGTTGAAAAGACCAGCACTTGGGTCAGGAGCACCTTAGTCATCAAAGTAATATGTCTGTGTTTGCTTTTTTTTTTTCTTTTAAGAGCTAAGTGAGGTCTGTGAAACATGGGCACAGAAAACCTAAGACCAAATGTAGGAGACCAAAACCAAACCAGACTCACTGCCATTGAGTCAATGCTGAAACCCTGTGGGTTTCTGAGACTGTAACTGTTTACCGGAGTAAAAAGTTCAGTCTTTCTCTAGTGGAGCTGTTAGTGGTTTCGAACTGCTGATCATGCAGATGGCAGCCCAACTTGCAACCACTACACCACCAGGGCTCCACAAGGTTGGATACCGTATCTGCTGAAAAACAAGAGTATATAGGGAAGGAAACATGAAAGAGGAGAGGAGCTCAAGACGTTTTCTAAGTTGCAACATGAGTTGGGCCTGCAAGCACAGCTATGAAATTAATTAACTAATATAGACCAGGGTGTTTTTCAAGTGAACAACAAATATATTAACTGAATCTAAAGTGATCCCTATTTTGAGTTGAGCCCACTATTCGGTCTAGTGGCCTAATCCCTAGGTGCCTGTCACTTGATCCTGTGGTCTGTAATTTATACCACAGGGGTCCATCCAGGTTAATCGGGAATATGTTCAATCTTTACCTGTCATCACCTGTTGTTTGCCCTCTAATAATTTAGCACCAATGTTTGTGTATCTATTGAGCCATTTAAGAATGAATGAAAGAGCCTTGGTGGCACAGTGCTTTGTAGGAATCAAGACCTGGTG